TAGAGAGAGAGAGAGAGAGAGACTTATATAAGCTGGAAATGAAGCAGTAACTGCATTCAAAATGTTTATCTTTATACCCCCAGGTAAGTGTAATTCTCATCCATCATCAAAGAAGTTCCTTTTTGCAGCAGAGAGATTGCCATTGAATGCACAACTGCTCAAAATGCACAAAACCACTGGCTAAGGGGTGTGCAGCCCCAGTTGATACAGCTACCACAGAAGCCCTATGCCTAAGGCTCAAAGAAAATCATGAGTGATGGAAAGGATATATTATAGGAGTCAGAATAACAAGAACACCTGTTGTGAGAAATGTTTTCAATATATGATAATGAAACGGTACCCATGAAATCTCAAAAATATGCTTGCCTAAACAAGACCAGGGAAATGACAACACCAGTTGGCATGCAACACTCAGGGAAAACTTACAAGGCATCAATCCTAGAAGAGCTGTAGGAAGTTGTTGCTGTTGAAAGGGAATGATTCAGTCTACTTCAAGAAGAGCTCCATGGTAGGTTGTACATTTTCAAGCAGTCAGTCCTAAACACTCATACTTTCAAGATATAGCTGCTAATAGAAGCACCCATTCTGCTCTTCTTCCTTAATGGTCCTTGAGCACTAGAATGGGATATATACATTATATATTAAGTATACTCAGAGACAGAGAGATAATAGATGATAGGCAGATAGGATGATAGGCAGGTATGGATGGATGGATGACAGATAGACAGACAGAGAGGCAGGCAGGCAGGCAGACAGACAGATATACATACAAACACAAACTCTATGCCTGAATACACACTCCATGGCCAAACAGTTACAGTCACCTATTCAGACCTGTTGATCTGGTTTGAGCCTCTGGATTATCCATTACACATTCAAACAAGAAGTTTCTCTCACCAAGGTTTAAAGCAGGACAAATCTATGAATAAAAACATCCACCAATCAATTCTTAATCTTTGCTTTCCTTTTGTTTTCCTCGATGATTAAAAGTTTTGAGATACCAGAAAACAAATTTCCCTCATTTCCCCCCAAAACATTAAAAAAAAATTCTTTTTTTTTTTCACAAAAAAAGTTCCAGAAATTGTTCACAAAGTTACCCAACCAAAGCTGGAATCCTTTAATGGATTAGTTTTACTATCACCATATGAAGGAAACACATGTTTCCTATGGGGGTCTCTAGTTGCAAATAATAATTAAATATTGTACAACTAAAGTATTCTATAGACTTTGCCTGGGAGCATTGGCACAATGTACCTTGGAGCACAGAGCTCTTTTAGGCTGGGAAGAGGATGAGTTATCGTTGTCGTGTTAATAATGAGCACCACTCTTCAGTATGACATGTATGAGGAATTCAGCCCCACACAGCATGCCTAACACTGTTTAAGAAGAACTTTGAAGCCAGTGAGATGACTTATTAGGGAAAGGTGCCTGGTACCAAGCCTGAATTTGATCCGTAGGATCCATAATGTGGAGGGACAGAACTGACTCCCACAATTTGTCCTCTGATATTCACAAGCATGCCTTGACACATGTACAAGCACAAACACACGCAACCACCCACACGTACATACACATATGCATGTGTGTGCACACACAGAGAATAAAATAAAAAAAGCACTTACTGGACTTAAAAACATGAGATCTGGATTTAGATACTCAGGTTTCAATTCCGTCACTATTGCCTACTTGATAGGTACTGTGCTCCCTAAACCAAGCCTAAACTAATATTTTCACAGGGCTTCACGGAATTGCTCTTGTATTAATTACTCTTCTGTAGGAAAAGTCTTAAACTTATACAGACATATAACCGTTTAGATCTATAATCTGTATCTATCTACCTAGGCCTATTTATTCTCGAGTTAATCTCCCAAGTTACTCACTGTTGAGCCTGCATTGTTCCAATTGACCTCACAGAGTGTAGCCACGAGTGCTTAGTGATAACACTCATACAGAGCTCTGCACAGTGCCAGGAGCATCTGATCCCATGCCCAGCAAATGCATGTTCTTACCACTCACATCACCTTCAGCCCACAGTGAAATTATCTTGTGTGAATAAAGAATAATAATACATGTATAGAGGAGTCGTTCATTTCCACTTTTGTTTTTCAAAACATATAGCACATAGTAGGTATAATAAATAAAATTTCAAACACATCGGTAATGTTTCTTTCATCATATTCTTTATCATGTTGAATGTTGTGCTAGTGTGTTAAAAGTGAAAACATATTTAAATTCAGGATGTGTTTTGATTTATTAATAGTCACTGTTATTTTTTTTTTGTAAGTTGACTCTATTTTTAAAATGAGGGTTTTTTTTGTTTTGTTTTTTAGCAGGTGATGTGTAGTTGCAATAGTCTTAACCACTGGAATGTTTAGATCGATAAGTTATCAACTAATGTTTCTATTAAAATATATTATTGCTTAAATGAAAAAAAACACACTGAATGCACGCTACATTTTTGGTGATGATGAAATTCACGGAAGACTTTCCTGGATTTCACCAGTAGGTGGAATATTTTCACACACATCTAACCACTGAAATGTCACTTGTTTCCTAATAAATTCTAAGTTTACATTTTGAAAAGAATATGCCCATCTATCACTCCTCTGAGACTTGTGCAGGGAGATGCAAAAGTCAGCAAGATCCACCCCTGGCAGCCATGATTTAGAACATGTTGCACCAATCAAATTTGACACTGCTAACAATTTATATGACTTGACCTTAATACTGATGCATTGACAGAGGAAGCCCTGTGGTGCATAAACACAGCGAGCAGACTCTAAGGCAACAGAGGCTCCGTGTGGCTTGTTTCCGGGGCATTTCGGCTTCAGTCTGGAACCCAGCTCCCTGCTAGGATAATCTCTTTCACAGACTTTCAACTTTGTTTCGCTATTATTGTGTAAGACCATGTCAGGAGTTAAAAGGATTTAAATTGATCAATGTGACTGTATATTTGTATATATTGATGCTTACACTTTTCTTCTGCCAAAACATCTCAAGTAAAAATCCCAATGATGTAGATCTTATTAGGTTATGAATTGTGTTTCCAATGCTACTTTTGATTTATAGATTAAAAAATTACCAAATGAATTTTCTGCAGTGTTTCTTGAACTTTTCTGTATATTATAATAAAATGTAGAGTGCACACGTTCTGATAGTGGGAATGAACTCCACTCCTATTACATCATAGAATGGACAATGGTCACATGTTATTTCAGAAAGGCTCTTTCGATCTAGTTCTAACCGTATACCAACTTTAAGACTAAAATGGCCGTTTCAAAGACTGGCGCAAAGGTGGACATGTTTATTGGAGAGCTTTGTGAAAGATGCTAAGTACGAGGCTGTATGCTAGACACACAACATCGGAATCTGATCCAACTATGATTTTCCAAGCTTCAACGCCTTTGCATAAGCTAAAGTTTCTTATCAAAACACTCATTCTAGTGCAGTTGTCTAGGTATGAAGCCGCAGACTCTGCGCTAACAAGCTGTCAAGGGCTCCTCATGCTGCTGCCCTGAAGATCCTTCTTTCAGCAACAGTAATCTTTCTATGCGTTGGGAATCATCTTTCTCAGAGAGAGGTAGAGGGGTGTTGTATTAACTACAATTACTATACTCACACGCATCCATTGGGTGAGGATAAAAAAGCGATTGTGTCAGCTACTACACAATGATCCAAGAGCTTTCTCTGAGTTCTCTATGAGAAAATCAGATAACTCAGATTTAAAATAATACAGTGAGTCTGGGAGAAGTGAAGAGCTTGACTCAAGGACTAGTATCTCTGTCTTATTTCAGAGATGGGATTTCCCAGCTATATCTCATCTTCCCAGACTTCATGGTGATTGTGAATTAATTGATGTGATCATTACATGCAAAATATACGGGTTATTCCAATTCAGGAAGCCAGGGAACTGAGGAGTATATAACAGCCCCAAGAGGAGATCTGAGTTCCTTCTTGAGTTTCAAACGGTGACATGAGAGTAGTAAGACCCTCAATGAATATGCCACATCAGACAAAAGAATTCTACCTGGAGACCCTTTGTTAATTCTGCTCTTAAACTGTCAACTCCCCTACTTACAGTAGCAATATATACTACTGAAAATAATTTATCAAAACATGAGCTTCTTAAATATTTTGATAAATGAGAAGATTTTTTGCAGTGTTTCTACTTTGAGACACACAAAACAAATATTATATACACCACATCCATGGAAGCTTGTTTTAGAAGAGACAAATATAAACTCATGAAGCAGTTAAATAATAACACAAAGTGACATATACTAGGTACCAATGCGCAATAAAGGCAACACTCATAGCCATAACGCTATCAAATAATGAATGCCTATTGTATGATAGATTGTTGCATATTAAGTACCCCATTTGATCACAGTAATCTATGTACATTTATAATTACTATTCCTATTTTCTAAGCAAGGAAAGAGAATATTGAGGATTTATGTGTTTTCCTAAAGATCCACTAATATGAAATACTAAAATGGAATTCAAATCCGGGATCCATGATTCCAAATGCGACTCTATTTCTTTAATTTCTCATTGCCCTCCTACCAAGCTACTTCTTTTGCATTCTTGGAGGTCAGTGAAGGGAAACAAGCAGCAAGGAAGAAAGCTTCATGGGGATATTTTACAGAAGCTGTTTTCATAAGCCTGCTGGGATTTAAGAAGGGAGAGAAAGAACATGGAGAAAAACTAACCAGGAAATGAAAATTAATGGAGCAGTATCCGGAAGCATGGGGGTGTCCGAGGTTGACAGAAATAGCTTGTTTAGGCAATGAGCTCTGGACCATTATTAAAGACCTGAAAAAATAATCTCAGTGGCATTGGTCTAAGAACAGTAGCCTTAAAGAGGTTTTTTGGAAAGGTAAAGAAATAATGAACTTAGGAGTTCCATAAAATGGATAAGATGAAGGATTCAAA